CTTAGATTTGCCAATTTTGCTAAAATTGTAAAGGTCTTTTTCATAAATCGGTACATAACACCACAGTAAATGATATTCAATAATATATTCTAAACGAGGTTGACGAATTACTTATTCAATGGAACATTTTTTTCTTTTTTTGAGTTTAGTTTGAGATGATTAGTGTATAACAGTTAGAAATAGCTAGAGGAAAATAATTATAATAATATTGAATTCCGATTTCTTCGTTTTGGAGAATCTTTAAATCAAAATAATAATAATCAAAGATGGATTCCCTTGTTTTCATTTATGAAAATGCTAATACTTATATGAATAGAGAGTAGAGATGTTTTAATGACATGGAAAAATACCAGTTTGTCTCACATGTCTATAATTATTTCATAATTAGCTCAATTAAAAGAGAATTACCAGCAGAATTCCAATGAGTGGCCGATCAAGAAAGGTCTAAAAATCTTCTTTGTGTATCCGGACTGTACATACATGGACATTTATGATTGGTTAAAACTCCTTATTATATACCATAAGAACTAAATGATATGATTTTGAATATATGATAATTCATTAGAAACACCAATTAATAAAATTGTTTGTTTAATTTGACACTAAAAAAGTAAGGAAACCAGTCTATAAAGAAATACATGATGTATTAGTGCTCATTACCCTGAAAGCTTTCGACCTATTACTTACGAAATAAAATAGCTTTAATTAATTTGGTGTATACTGAAAAACTGACATAGATAAAAATAATTATGATAAAATGTCATAGAAAAAGTAATATTTAACAAAATTAACTATGTGTAAAATTATTTTATAGTGGTCCATGTGGTTGCTGTATATATTCTTCTTATGCGCGGTACGAATTCTTTTGGCATATGCGGGTATTTCTCTTGCAGATTCGTGGAAGTGTTTTTCATGAAAACTGACGCGATTATAAGTGGTGACGATGGGGATTACTTGATTATCATGTTGAAAGTTTAAACCATTGGGATGTACTGTGTTTTACTTGTCCTCGCTCTGTAATCTTTTATGTTTTGGTTTCATATTTCGCATAGATGCAACAGTTTCGATATGGAAGGTTTCAGAGGATCGCATTAGGTCTATTTTTGTCATGTAGATATCATTACGATATTAAAGCCTCATCACACTGTACGTCACACTTTGTTTTTACATCAAATAAGGTTTATTAAATTTTGGTCAACGCAAGATCATTGGGAAAGTTTTGTCGGTGTCCATATTTCTCAAAATAATGAGAATTATGTAAATAATCGCATGTGCGACACGCAGAACCTCCACATGGTATTGATCCAAAGCCATTGGAAGGTTCGAAAAGGTGTGATTTTTAATTTGGCACGAGAAATGTTTTGAGTAACCCCTTTCTTGTAATTTATGAAAAACAAGTCTACACGCGGAATTAAAATCGGTTTGTTTTGGATCAAACCCGTTTTTAAATAAAAGTTGTTTCGGTTTCTTGGAATAAATACCTTGATATCAATGTTTTTTAATATCGTAAAATTGGTATCTTTGATCAATGTCGTGGCCATGAAGCTCATATTTGTTTTGCTAATATTCGCGATTAATTTTACTGATGGATGATGGTTATTCAGAATGTCAAAATACTGCCAAAAATCTCACGAGATTCAGTTCAAATGATAAATATGTCGTCAAAAAACCTTCTAGTGCAGCGGATTAGCAATAGAATTGCGCACTTTTTGAGAAAAGCATGGAATTTCTAGCATAGTTAGCTTTCACCATGAGATTCATTTTCAGCCTAAATTAGCCTAAATGCCAAACAAAAGCAATATTCATTGAAAATAACAAATAATTTACAAAAAGTACACACCAGGTCGCGCGAATTCAGCCTTAAAATTCTAAAAAATTTCAGCTTCGCGCAAACGGACACTTGGATTGTTTCCAAAGTGTAGGTATAAGGATAGGTTTCAAAATTTGGTCAGTTCAGTCAGATTTTCGATGTTCAGGTTCATTACGACGAGGTGTAGCTTTGGGTAACTGACCAAGACTGATGAAGACGGGATTGGTGCTTGCGCACAGGTTATGGGGATTTCAGTATCCGATGTAGAAGGTCCGGAAAGGTCGTTATTGGTTGTGATTGTTTGGGCGATTTCTGAAGAGGTACAATTTAAATAACCGAAGGGACAATTTGGTGGTTAGTTGCAGTGACGATATAGGTCGGTCATTCTTTTCGAGGGTGGGGCGGATCAATATACCCCCCCCCCCCCCCCCCTTCAGCCTTCCTCCCCGGTAGCTACTGGCATGGTATCAAGAGTATAAAGTTGAACCCGTCGGTACTATTTTTTTTTTGCCCAATGAATGACCTCCGACGAGAATCGCTATGAATTAGATGCGAACAACTGGTCCATTGGTCAAATTTTATATACCACAAACTTGCGAAGACAGTAATTATCACTTATAAAGTTATTTTTAAAAAAAATTGAATTTGGTCATTTTAACTCTAATTGTGACCATCTTACCCCATATTTAAATTTGAGGACTAAAACAGGAATCATTGTGATGATTAGAGCCTTTTTATACAAGTTGACTATAACCCTTCAAAGCATTTTCCAAAATTACAGGAATTTGCAACAAATTGCAACAAATATCTCGACCTTTAACCTGAAATTGTAAATACTTACATATATTTTGCTTTATTGCATTTGGCCCCGTTTTATACAAATAAAATCAGCTTATATCGCCGTTTTTATTTCTTATTTTTTACAGAGTCGAGAAAATCAGTCTCCAAGGGACGAAATCAAGAAACCCATCACCAAAGAAGTTGTTTGTCCTAATGTAAGTGTTTCTATGATGCCACACACACTTGCAAATGTGACCGACAAGACTTGTGATATAACTTTGATGTCTCCCGCAGTGCATAAAAATAACAATAATTTTCTATAACGGATTTTGTGAATATGTTAATTCTTTACTTTTTTGGTTAATTTTTGACAAAATCAGTAGCAAAATTTTTTTTTATGATCGCGGTTAAAAGTCGACACATTGCTGATATTCGAATTCGATGGCAAATTTCTTGGGATATTTGCAAGGACCAGCGGTTTATAGATTCCTTAAGAACCTAATAACCTGTTGTCCTCGCAAAATAACATTGGAACATGTTTCTTATTTATCATTACAAAAAATGTTAGTTTAGACCATTGTTTTAAAAACATGTTTATCATTCAACAGGGTGTTTCCAACGAAACTCTACCACCAAAACAAAACGATAATTCCAATAACAAAAGATCCTCGGAATCAGTTACAACCAGTCAGTATACAGAGATCACCAACGAAGTAGTAAGAGTTCAAGCAAGAACGCCAGAACCAATTGCACAAGCATATCTAGAGAAAGTGTCCAAGTCTTTAGAAGTAGAAGTTCCAGACGTGGCCGAATGTGCTTCACTAAGACATGAACGTGGGAACGACACACCACGTGATGAAATCGGAATAGATGCCGGTGGTGATGTAGTCAAAACCGAAGAAGGTCGGGGTACAGAACATACAGAGCTCGAATCAGTACCGACAAAAGAAAAGAACGAGCATACAGAACTAAAGGTAAATGAAAATGAGACCAATGCTACAGCAGAAAACATTCAAACAGGTGCCGATGTACTTCCTCATTCAGAACAAAACACAAGTGTAGCAGCTGGAACAGACGAATCGATAACCCGAGGAGATCTTAACACGCCAACTACAGAACCTGACACAGGTGTTACTCAAGATCAACCTGACTCTAAAATAATAGAAAATAATGCAAAAGCTCTTGTTGCTGAAGTGATATCTGTTGCCACGTTGGAAGAACAAGGACATGGCAATAATGTTGAGACCGGAGAAACTACAGCTTCAGAATAGCACAATTAATTTTTCAATGATGTTGATTCGAATTGTGATCCTAAAAATACAATCCTTCTTGTTTGGTATTTTCCTGTGTTGTTATGGAAATTTCGTCTCGACATCCTAGGGTTAGCAAATCCGTAGTACTAGCTGTAGGGGCCGTGTATTCTGAGCAAGCTAATTTCACTCAGTTTTACGATACATTGTTATTCTTTTACTCATCAGTATTTATGTGTACCGCCAGGACTGAAACTAGGGTCTTTTTCCATCAGACAAAAAATCGTGGCTTCCATCGCATTGCTTACCCACCTTTACCGTAGACTTAAATAAAGCGATATATTTAGCATGTATTTTCAAATTCGGCACGAGACATTTAACTCGTTTCGGCACGTCACCCTTTTAGAATTGATCATTTACAGACATCTAGAATGCCAAGAATAATGTTGTTTTTATTTTTTAACTTTGCGTGTAATGATTACCTGGACGATACCTGATTATCTTTATAAAGCCGTCCCTTCCATACTGAAGAATATACAAGAATGCCCAAAAGAGCACACGTGGTCTTTAATGATCGTCTATTTGTAGTAATTAAACAATCATGTTTTTAAGCGGTATTTGAAAGTGGCGAGGGATGGTGACAGTTTAATCGTATAAGGGTAATGCTTTCAATAAGGAAGCTGTCGTAAAAATAAAGTTTATGCCAAGTAATATTCAAGACGATCAAATTCAAATGAAGATAGTTGTAGTGTAGGGAACAAAACAAATTTGCTTGGTCCAATTTATCAAAGAGTCTGCCTTTGTATTGATGTTATATACACCTCTTATATTACATGTACGTCATGTATTAATATATTGGATAAAGATATAAAGTCAAAATCTCTCATCTACTTTCCCTTTTGATATAATGAGGCAGATTTTCGCATAAAAAGACACGAAATAGGAAAAGATATTAACAACAGAATAGAAAAAAGCAAAGTAATAAGTGTCTGTAACTGCCAGAGTTCAGGGTTCTAAGAATGTTAATGCGCACAATTCTGTTTAGTTAATAAAGTTTATTGAAATTACAAATCGTTGAATAGAATGATTAGAATAACAAACAGGTAAGTATACTGCCATAGAAAACATCAAACTTGCTGTACATGTGTGTGCATGCAATTAACTGAAATATACAAATACAAATTTCTGTCAAAGTACAAACATAAATCAATTAATAGATGACAAGATAGTAAGATGACAATACACAGTAATCTAGCCTACTGCTTATAATATGCTAATAATATGACAAAGGCTTTTACAATAGATGTCACAATAACAAATGTAAACAAAACCATATGATGGGAGATAACTCTTTGTGCTCTACATGGGGAAATTAATTGTGGTCCGTTTAATGCCAGAAATGACGGTCCCACACTCTCATATTTTACAAGCACAAATTTACAATGACAACTGACAAACTATGAAATATATAGAAATATTAAATACCGTGTTATTAGACAAATCTCTCCTGAACAAGTTTACATTGTGATGTCAATTAATTAGCTGACAAAAAGCTTAAAATGCTTTTACTGCCAAGGAAAGCATGCCATGGAAAATTCTAGTATGTCAGTGTCTAAGATCAGCCTAATATTATGCACTCAAAGACGACCACAAAACGAAACAATACTGATGCCATATCTCAAATGCACTATTTAGAAACGAAGAAAATAATAATAAAATGGCCATAACATTCCGGCCTCCTAATTGTATATAAATCACAATTACTAATACTATTTCAAAATGGCCATAATAACATACAAAATACAATTATGGATTAAGTCATGATGCCATTAAACATTACAATCTATAACTTTGTGTCTGCCTCTAAAAGTAAAACTAGTTTATCGATAGGTCGATCAAATTCACTGTTCTTAGATTTCACTTTAACAATTCTCACTAAACCACGTTTGTCAGTTTTTACTTCTATTACTTTTCCTAAACACCAGGAATTTCTGGAAACTGTATTGTCCACTAATAATACAATATCATCTTTCTCTAAGTTATGTTTCTGCATAAACCACTTCTGTCTCTCTTGAAGCATAGATATATACTCTTCACTCCAACGTTTCCAAAATATATCTGACAAGTATTGGATCTGTCTCCATTTTCTTCTAACATAATTATCAGTTTTCTGAAATGTTCCTAGGGGAAATGATCCAGAATTGTTTAACAATAACAAATTATTAGGAGTTAAAACATTTAAATCATTTGGGTCTTCTGAACAGAGTGTTAAAGGTCTGCTGTTTATGATATTCTCTATTTCACTGAATAAAGTTTGTAACGAATCATCATTTAAACGAATACACTGTTCCTTCATCAATGCAAATAATAACTTTCTAATTGTCCTAATTTGCCTTTCCCAAATTCCACCGAAATGGGAGGCAGTTGGAGGATTGAATTCCCACTTGAGTCATTCAAAAATAAATGCTTAAGTTTCTGCTGATCTAGTTTTCGAAATTCTGCCTTGGTTTTGTTGGTTGAAATAAAATTTGAACCATTGTCAGATTTCATGGTGCGAACTGGTCCTCGTCTATTTGTAAACCGTCTTATCGCGTTTACACATGAGTCTGTATCCAACGAATATGCCATCTCGATATGTATTGCACGAGATTTTAAACATGTAAATACCTTTTTACAACACTACGTCCTTGTTTTATTTCGTAGGGTCCGAAATAATCTACACCAGTGACGGTGAATGGGGGCTCGTCACCAATTACTCTTTCAACTGGCAAATTTGCCATCTTTTGTTTACCTGGTTTTGCACGATAATGACGACAGGTAACACACTTTGTTACCAGACTTCTTATAGCTGTGCTAGCTCTTGGCAACCAATATCGTTCTCGTAACTTTGATAACATCGAGTTTTTACCAAATTGTCCCACCTTCTGATGAACTTCCTGTAATATAAGCTCGGAAACATGCGAGTCTTTAGGCAAGATAATTGGGTGCTTCATATTATATGCTCAGTTTGATCTCTGCAAGCGTCCACCAACACAGATTAACCCACTTTCCATATAGGGGTCTAATTTCAGTAATGAACTTTCTTTTGTTACATTTAATGACTTTTGAAGACAAGTAATTTCTTTTGGGAAATGCTGATGCTGGATATACTTCAAAATTTTATTTTCTGCATCTTCTAAGGTTTCAAGTGAAAGAATATGAAAGTTATTCTTACTTGGAAATTCTTCTTTAATCTATCAATTCTACCATTTACTAACTCAGCTCTCTTCTCAGGATCTCTTTCTTCATTTAATAAACTGGTATTAATCTGATTTCTTTTCTGAACCCAATACTGAAGATTTTTCATTCCAGTTATCATCCAAGCTACCATTTTCTTCAGTTTGAACCATGATGAGAAGTAATTTAAGATTCTATCCATGATGTTTGGATTAGAATTATCAATATCTGTCGCTGCTGTTATTAGTTGTACTTTTTTCACCTCAATGTCATTATCTTGTAAAGCAAGGTTTAGTTCTGTCACAGGCCATTCTGTCTCTGGTTTCCATAGAAATGCTGGACCTTGTAACCATCTCATATTTGAAGTACATTGTTGACCTGAAATACCTCTTGAAAATTCATCTGCTGGATTTGATTTTGTATCTACTTATCTCCATTGTGAAAGTTGTGAAGATTCTCTGATAAGACTAATTCGATTGGCTACGAATGTCTGAAATCTAGTGGTTGTATTAGCTAGATAAGGTAATACATTGTAACTGTCAGTCCAATAGAATATGTCTGTATCTTGGATAGTTGTTTCTAGCTGCTTGGTTACCATTTGGTTTAGACGAAGTGAAGTTACTGCTGCTGTAAAATCTAGTCTTGGTATTGTTATTCTTTTTAGTGGTGTAACTCTTGATTTTCCCAGTACAAGAGAACAATGTACCTTATCATCTTCGTTAATATGGCGTAAATATAAAGCAGCACCATATCCAGACTCACTGGCATCTGAAAAACTGTGTAGCTGACAGGATTTTACTCTTCCGAAATTACTAGGTTTGTAGCATCTTGATAGTGAAACTTCTTGAAGGTTTGGTAAATAAAATAACCATTGATTCCATTGCTGTAATATATTTTCAGGAATTTCATCATCCCACTGTACTTTTATCTGACATAGATTTTGTAGAATGATTTTTGCTGGTAAGATTATAGGGGCAGCTAATCCTAAAGGATCATATATAGAGCATTTTGTTGATAGGATTCCTCTTTTTGTGGCTGGTTTACTTTGTAGTGTGATTTTAAATCCAAGGGTGTCAGTTTCAGCATCCCAATAGACTCCCAAGGCTCTCTCAACTGGCAAATCATCACTATCCAAGTTCAAATGTTTAAGTCCTTCAGCATGCTGTTCATCAGGAATAGTTTCCAATACATGTTGACTGTTACTCATCCATTTTGATAATTCAAAACCACCTTTGCTGCAAATGTCATTTAGGTCCTTTACCAATTTGATAGCTTGATCTTCATTCGGCACAGAACGTAAGCAATCATCAACATAAAGGTTTCGCCTTAAAGTTTTTGCAGCTTCTTTGTTTGAATCAGTCTCATAATCTTGTGATGTTTGTTGCAAAGCAGATATGGCACAACTGGGCGATGAAGTAGCACCAAATAAATGCACTGTCATTTTGTAGATACATGGGTTGCTGTCAGTGTCACCATTGGGATACCACAAAAACCTCAGGTAATCTGTGTCTTTTTCAGGAACATGAACCATGTAATACATTGATGTTATGTCTGCCATTATAGCTATTTCTTCTTGTCGAAACCGCAGTAAGACGTTGAGAAGTTTACTGGTTAAATCTGGTCCACTAAGTAACATCTGGTTTAAAGAAATACCATGAAATTTTGCGGAACAATCAAATACAACTCTTATACTAGGTTTGTTGGGGTTATATACTTCATGGTGAGGGACATACCAAACATTCTTGTTATTTTCTGTTTTTTCTTCTTCATCAATCTTGATGGCAAATCCTTTGTCTATGATTTTGTTCATAAACACTGTATAGTCTTCTTTAAATTGTGGATTTCTATCCAGCTTCTTCTTTAAATATTTCAACCGTTGCTCAGCCTGTAAAATATTATCTGGTAGTTTAAAGTTTTTAGTTTTGAATGGCAAGCCAATCTCATAGTGTCCACTTTCAGTTTGTCTTAAAGATGAATCCACCATTTTCATAAACCTCTTATTTTCCATACTATTTTCAGGTTTTTCATCTGTAGGTCTTTCAGGAAAATCGAGATTTATTGATCGATGAACCAAAGACTCTAAATTATCTATTTCACCAACAGCATTTACTTGACATCTGTTGACGATAATGTTATTGACTGTGTGGGTTGTATCTGCCTTACGTTGTCGAACAACATTCCATACCCAAGGCTGTTCTCGATGCGTGTGGAGAACCATTTTCTCCTCTGATGACTTCTAATGGTGTGTATGCATCTGCTATGCGATTCTCAATGAGCAATCCAATCTCAGCATCAATTTGAGGTAGTTTAACATTCTTCAGATGTTTCCAATTTGCAACATCCTCTTCGGTTGGAATGAGGTCATGGGTGACTGGCATTTTATCTTTGGTATATACTTTTGGTAGAGATACAACATTCTTCATGTCTAGATCTAAGATTTCAAGATTGTGTAAGACATAAGTTGCCATATTGTATGGTAAGCCCATAGTGTTCAACGTGATAATTCTGCGTTTGCCCATGATGCCTAATTGTCTCATAAGATTGACTGTACAAAAGGACGCACTACTGCCATTATCTCTGAATGCATAGGTTTGTATGAGTTTATTAGCACCTTTAAGACGAATTAGAACAGGAATTATATTCATAGTACATACACCTTCCTCGGCCTCCATAGATTCACTACAAGCAGTGGTTTCTGAATTGCTTGAATGTCTTTCATGAAATTCTTGATCATGTAAAATTGTGGGATGCCACCTTGAACATGTGTCACATTTTAATTTAGTCTTACAGTATTTGATTGAATGTCCTTCTTTCAGGCAACCAAAACAAAGTCTAACACCTTTTAAAAAGACAATTCTTTCTTGATAGGTTTTCTTTAAAATTTGATAATCTGGTAAGCAATGATTTTACAAAATAAACATTCCGCTGCAGTTTTACTATTGTCTTTAGGCCTACTAACAGATGTTGTTAAAACCTTAACCTTTTTGTGACTCTTAAAATGTTTATTCCTATCATCACTTAAAGCTTCTCTGCCATAAGTCGGATCTGTTGCTTTCTTTGCTTCATTCTTCACAAATTCAACAAAATGATGAAATGTAACTTTCTCATTTTTATCTTTTGACGTCTGATACAAAGTTCTCCACTTTTCATGGAACGAATAAGGTAGTTTCTTAATTAAGATCTTAATTAAGCATATTCTTTTTATTTTCTAAAACTTTAACATCTTCAAAGTTTTGAACTGCTGCTTCGCATTCACTGAGAAATATTCCAAAATTATCTAAACCTTTTGGATCATCTGCTGCAATCTTGGTCCAATCCAATGCTCTTTCAGCGCATGTTGCTGCAGTCGCTTCTGGATCTCCATAGCGTTCTTCCATTTCCTTTAGTGCTGCTGGAAAGCCTACACTGGAATCCATATGACCATAACCAGTGATTATTCAATTAGCCTCTCGAGTTGTATAGTAATCTAACAAGTTCATTTTTTCATCAACACTGTCAACAGTACTCGTAAAGTAATTAAATTGTCTCATAAATTTTCTATACAATGTCATATCAGCTCCACTAAATTTCTAAATATCAGTTTTAGGTTTTTTCATTTCTCGCACTACTGACAAAACAAGACTTTCAGTTGTCGTTTCAGAAGAAGTAGATGAATTTAAGTTGCAACTACCATTAACATCAACTGGATTGGGATTTTCATTTTCTTCTAATGTTTTGATTCACTACACTGGCATCTCCAATATTATCATTGTAATCATCATTCACTATTTGAAGTGTCTTTTTCCTGGTTGATTTTCTTTGAAACATAGCTCCATCCATATTATCCATACTATGCTTCACTTCACCTTTTGAATGTCAAAAAAGTCTAACACGTTAATAGAATGTAACTGCCAGAGTTCTGTTTAGTTAATAAAGTTTATTGAAATTACAAATCATTGAATAGAATGATTAGAATAACAAACAGGTATGTATACTGCCATAGAAAACATCAAACTTGCTGTACATGTGTGTGCGTGCGATTAACTGAAATATACAAATACAAATTTCTGTCAAAGTACAAGCATAAATCAATTAATAGATGACAAGATAGTAAGATGACAATACACAGTAATCTAGCCTACTGCTTATAATATGCTAATATTATGCTACTGCTAATAATATGACAAAGGCTTTTACAATAGATGTCACAATAACAAATGTAAACAAAACCATATGATGGGAGATAATTCTTTGTACTCTACATGGGGAAATTAATTGTGGTCCGTTTAATGCCAGAAATGACGGTCCCACACTCTCATATTTTACAAGCACAGATTTACAATGACAACTGACAAAATATGAAATATATAGAAATATTAAATACTGTGTTATTAGACAAATCTCTCCTGAACAAGTTTACATTGTGATGTCAATTAATTAGCTGACAAAAGGCCTAAAATGCTTTTACTGCCATGGAAAGCATGCCATGGAAAATTCTACTATGTCACGTGTCTTAAGATCAGCCTAAAATTATGCACTCAAAGACGACCACAAAACGAAACAATACTGATGCCACGCTTGACTGATAACGATACATTAAAAATATGGAATCTCAAATGCACTATCTAGAAACGAAGAAAATAATAATAAAATGGCCATAACAGTGTCAAATTACTAGTAAAAAAACATGTTGCTATTACTCGTGTATGACGCCGTCAATATTGTCTGAAGATCGCATAGCAACATGTTTCTTAGGTTCTGTTTTAATATTTCTATATCGCTCTACAAAATGATGTATTGAGCACCATTTTAACAGTGAAAATATTTTATTATAGTATTAATTTATTATATAATTTTTAGCTTATTATTCATTATGTATGTTTATGTTTGATATTTATATCCTTTAATTCTAATATATCGTTTACAGGTGTATCAATTAATACACACCTCGGAACGGTATTCCCTTTGATGTTGTCAGCGATATTGGACATAACATCCCAGTGATGACGTCATCAGAGAGTGATATCTGATATCGTCCCTTGGGATGATATCACATTCTCAAGACGAGAAAAAAAAATACATTCTCTTTTATAACTTTATTTTTATATATTGATAACGCAATTAGTAGCATATATAAACTATGTGTCTGTTGGGTTTATGGTACCGGCGTGATTCAAAATGCCACTTATTCCCCTCTTCATGTCATCCGATGTCCTCTTGTAAATTCTAATCCCTGTAAATACATATTAAATTTACATTTAAAATTATACATAGATTGATATTTTGATTTATTGCTGTCCGTTACGATATTATACATTATAGAATGAGCCAACAGCAAGGAAAGACGTGACAAAAAAAATAATACATGTATTTAACAAAAATCGACTTACCCTCCACACTGCAGTGGCCGGTAGCTCCATTATCAGCTGTTCTGGTACACCAGAATTGATGAGTCTTGTAGCAGTGGTCACTCTCAAGGAATGATTAGTCTTATATCCAGATACACCAGCTACTTTGAATAATTCTGGAACTATCTTCTGAATTGTATTATGACCCATAGATTGTTTGCTATACCAGCGGGTATCGGTTGTAATTTTCATCACTTGGACATAATTCCATATATTTCTTATAAATCTCAACGTGACAACGTTTGCCATCACTTGGACATAATTCCATATATTTCTTATAAATCTCAACGTAACAACGTTCTTTATTATTGCTAGCATGATGTTCAACAATTTTAGGGGTTATTTTTCGGTGTTTCAACCCACCCTGAACAGTTTTCGAAATATCTTCTTTGTGACGTAAGAACTGAACACGAAATCAAAGAAATCTCGTAAATTCGTAAAGAGGAATGCAATCCATTTAAATAAAGTAAGTACCCTTACAGCTATTTACCACGGCGTGGTAAATAAAATTAGTCATTTGATATTTATTTCGGCAAAAATTGCTTAAAACTACCCAAATATTCAAAATAACGATTTTGAATTCAAAAACTCATAATTTTTATCAAACAAATAAATGTCAAGGCCGACTTTGAAGAGTTCACGGTTCAAGGTTGAATACTTCTCAATTCACACCTATCTAAAAAGTTCCGCGTTGTATGAAATTTAGTGTACATTCATTTGTTCTTTCGGCAATAGATCTTAATTACAAATCAGTCAAATTTACTTTTAACCTTGTTAATGAATTGGAAAGCAGGCTTATTACAAGTTTATCTATTCGAAATCAAAGGACTAATCTTCCTCAAATGATGGTAAGGGTATTTTGTTTGAGAATGATTTTTGAAAATAAATTCCTGCATTTTATGCATTTTATGCATTATTTATGCTAAATAATTCCCCAAAATTTTTTAAAATCAATATCAATAACCCAAATACAACAAACAATTAAATCACACAGCTCTAATCAAAGGGAAAAAACAACTTTTAGCGCATGTTTACAATGTCAAGGGCGATAACTCAAAAAAAGTTCATCAAAAATGCATCAAGTTAGAACTTGTCCGAGATCTTATCCATTCCAATGATCACACCAAGTTTCATTAGAATCGGTTGAAAACTGTAGCGTCAATCCTGCTCACAAACTTTTTTTTACAAATTTCGACGCATTTTAACAAAGTCAAGGGCAATAACTCAAAAACTGTTCATCGAAAATGCGTCAAGTTAGAACTTGTCCGGGATCTTATCAATTCCAATGATCACACCAAGTTTTATCAGAATCGGTTGAAAACTGTAGCGTCAATCCTGCTCACAAACTATTTTTAACAAATTTCAACACGTTTTAACAAAGTCAAGGGCAATAACTCAAAAATCGTTCATCAAAAATGCGTCAAGTTAGAACTTGTCCGAGATCTTATCAATTCCAATGATCACACCAAGTTTCATCAGAATCGGTTGAAAACTGCAGCGTCAATCCTGCTCACAAACTTTTTTTACAAATTTCGACGCATTTTAACAAAGTCAAGGGCAATAACTCAAAAATTGTTCATCGAAAATGCGTCAAGTTAGAACTTGTCCGAGATCTTATCAATTCCAATGATCACACCAAGTTTCATCAGAATCGGTTGAAAACTAGCTTCAATCCTGCTCACGAACAATTTTTAACAAATTTCGACGCGTTTAAACAAAGTCAAGGGCAATAACTCAGAAACAGTTCATCGAAAATGCGTCAAGTTAGAACTTGTCCGAGATCTTATCAATTCCAATGATCACACCAAGTTTTATCAAAATCAGATAAAAACTGTAGTCTCTATAGTGCTCACAAGAAATGTTGACGGACTGACCGACGGACAGGGGCGACGACAATATACGACCACATATTCATGTGGGCGTATAAAAAGCTATCATGTGAAAATACTGACTTGTTAGTCTTTCATTCAAACCTTTTCCAATTTGTCGTCCTTCACTAACACATGTTGTTTCTCCAAACGATTCTATATTCCTAAAAGTGTTCAGAATTAACATGAACTTCGAAACAAAGAAATAAATTATGTAAAAACCGCTAAAGTTCCTTAAAATTCTCAAGAAAGTGGAAACATGGCCTACTTTTCAACTCGATTCATGCAGCATTGAACAATTTTATTGCACCCAGAACAAATATTTTTTGTTAATCGGACAGTTAAGCCTATTTTTTAACCAATCAGAAACAAGATTTTCTTGGCTAAGCCAATCAGTAATAGTGTTCACAGCTAACCGTTAAAATTTGAGCCTTCAAACTCACGTGTGTCCAGAATTATTCAATATTGATTGTGTTTGACTGTTGTATGTAGTAGAGGTCAGTGATAATACATATATTGATACTTTTTAATTGTAGTATGTAGTTAAGGTCAGTAATGATACATATATTGATAGTGTTTGATTAGTACGTAGTCAGTAAAAATACAGATATTGATAGTATTTGACTGTAGTATGTTGTCTAGGTCAGTAATGATACAGATATTGATAGTGTTTGACTGTAGTATGTAGTAGAGGTCAATAATGATACAGATATTGATACTTTTTAATTGCAGTATGTAGTAGTGGTCAGTAATGATACATACATTGATAGTGTCTGACTGTAGTATGTAGTTAAGGTCAGTAATGATACAGATATTGATAGTGTTTGATTAGTACATAGTCAGTACAAATACAGATATTGATAGTGTTTGACTTTAGTATGTAGTAGAGACCAGTAATGATATAGATATTTAAAGTATCTGACTGTAGCATGTAGTAGAGATCAGGAATAAAGATATTGAGAGTGTTTGACTGTTGTATGCAGTAGAGATCAGAAATGATACAGATATTGATAGTGTTTGACTGTAGTTTGTAGTAGAGTTTAGTAATGATACAGATATTGATAGTGTTTGACTTTAGTATGTAGTAGAGTTTAGTAATGATACAGATCTTCATAGTGTGTGACTGTAGTGTGTAGTAGAGATCAGTAATGATACAGATATTGAAAGTATCTGACTGTAGTATGTAGTAGAGGTAAGTAATGATACAGATATAGACTAATACCACAGTCAAACACTATCAATATAATATGTATTATTACTAAACTTTACTACATACTGCAGTCATACGCTATAAATATCTGTCACATTACTGACCTAGACTACATACTACAGTCAAATACTATCAATATCTGTATTATTACTGACCTAGACTACATTTTACAATCAGACACTACCAATATATGTATTATTACTGACCTAGACCACATACTACAATCAGGCACTACCAATATATGTATTATTACTGACCTAGACTACATACTACAATCAGGCACTATCAATATATATATCATTACTGACCTAGACTACATACTACAATCAAGCACTATCAATATATGTATTATTACTGACCTAGACTACATACTACACTCAGACACTATCAATATATGTATTATTACTGACCTAGACTACATTTTACAATCAGACACTACCAATATATGTATTATTACTAACCTAGACTGCATACTACAATCAGGCACTATCAATATATATATCATTACTGACCTAGACTAATACTACATTCAAGCACTATCAATATATGTATTATTACTGACCTAGACTACATACTACACTCAGACACTACCAATATATGTATTATTACTAACCTAGACTGCATACTACAATCAGGCACTATCAATATATATATCATTACTGACCTAGACTAATACTACATTCAAGCGCTATCAATATATGCATTATTACTGACCTAGACTACATTGTACAATCAGACACTACCAATATATGTATTATTACTAACCTGGACTGCATGCTACAATCAGACACTATCAATTTATGTATTATTACTGACCTAGACTACATTTTACAATCAGACACTACCAATATATGTATTATTACTGACCTAGACTACGTACTACAATCAGGCACTATCAATATATGTATTATTACTGACCTAGACTAGAAACTGCAATCAGGCACTATCAATATATGTATTAGTACTGACCTAGACTATAAATATCTGTATCTTTTCTGACGTCTGGAAACAAACAATTCAGTTAGCTCAAAAGAGTGAGTCAGTCGAGTCTCAGATAGTTTTTCAGGCAATGTAACATTTGTCAGCTTCGTTTAAATTAAATTTCAAAAAAACAAGAGCAATACCTCATATTTGAAATTCCCCATTTTTTTCAATATGGTTCATCCTTGGGCGATGTTAAACATTTGGCAGAACCGCTACCCATCACCAGTTCATTATACTCAACCCTTAGCCATACACTTCTTCCAGGCATTTTTTTTTTGTCGTTTTGTATACGGCTCTTCTCTAAGTGAAACAGAAAAGTAGGACGTTAAACTCCTTGAAAATTAATAATTCCGTCCTGATCTGCCACGAACTGTAAGAGTGTGTTAAAGCTTGAAATAGAACTCTTTTCAAAAAACAAGGAAAATAACTAATTACACAGTTTTCAACACTTTTAATGAGATTTCTAAATGATTATTATGAAATTTTATGTAAATTTATCTAAATTTATCAATAATTGTGCCTTTTACATTTACTAGCTTAAGAACAAGTTATATCGTTAGGGTGTTTTGAGACGAGTCTCAATGAAAGCACTGACCTAGGTCACAGAGCAATATAGGGTTCACCAAGTTTCGTCCAAATCGTTAAGAATTGTGCCTTCTCGAGTATTTACAAGCTACAGACTAAACGCATGTCGAAAGACAATGCCTCATAACAATCAAAACATTGCAAATGTTATGATTTTTCATTCATAATAATCACCCATATGATCATATACTAATCAAATAAGCAATTAGATGCTCAGTAGGATTAGGCTTTGTTGTTTTCCTTGCACTAATAGTCCAAATATAGGAACAGTGTCGACAAATCCTACGCATATATTATCCGCCGCATTAAGTTTATTTCTAGCTTTAGTTTTGATGACTAAAGTGTCGAGGTTCGCTTGGGATCGAAGGGCACTATAAATCCTGAAACTTTATAATTCTTCTCCTACAATAGTTAGTCGCACCTTACACCTCAGGGAATGAAAAGAAACCCACGCTGGGAACCAGGAATATACAGTATTATAGCTTGGAATTTAAAAAGTCTGTCAAAAGTATATCTATATACGAATTGCTGACGTATTCCTTATGGTTCACATCATATAGCGATTGTAGAAATGTTTTGGACTGTGAAATTTAAAATGTTTATTTTATTGTGCTAACAATGTGAAATGTGCACAATATTTATATTTTTGAAACCTAAAAAGTGTGATTTTTTTAAATATTAAAAAAAATGGATGAAATCCCCTAAATAAAAAAAACCTGGTAAAATTTAAATACCACGTTTTTTCTCCATAGACTAACATGGTGACATTGGCCCAATTTAACAAGTTACCACGCCGTGGTATATAGCTGTAAGGGTACTTATGAGTATTTACCACGCCAGTTACTCAGCCAAAAGTTCAACTCTTTGTTATCCATGTGTTCCAAATCATGCTGTATTTTGGGTTCACCTTCCTTACGTTGATTATTACACCATATCGACCACAGTTCAAATGTTTTTCTCGCCCATTTATTTACGCCTCAACGCGTTTTTTGGAATTGCTGTCTGGGCAACTTCCATAATTTCTTCATATTTTGAAGCACAGAAGCGCTGATCTTGATCATTCACAGTTTCTTCTGCATCCGATATATCAGAGGATGTTTTTATCAATACCTGATTCCAAAATACAATCCAAAAATTCTATGCTGGCTGCTATCAATTCTTCGTCCGAATTAGATGGAGGGAGAGTATTTTCTATGATTTGAGTTGCAATTAGCAATTCTTTATCAGATTCATTTGATGTTGACTGCGCGTCCATTTTGTTTGAGCTGTGTCACGTGATATCCATTTTCACGTGCATAACAGTGTTCATTGACTTCATGTAATCTAAAACAACACAAGGTGATATGGAAGAGTTTATTGCATATTAGATTAAAATTCCTTACTAAGACACCAAAGACTTTGTTATCATATACGACAGCTGGTAGTGAGCGTATGTTAACTTGTCTGGCAAGCTATCTTTTTTAAGGCTATACAGACCAAATTTCCTTTACAGCTTCGATTACATGCGCCGCCACTACTCATTATTCGCGCTTACTCACTCCAGACCGAAGTACCCACCGGTTACTTCGGCAACTATCTCAGTGTGCAATGTGAGAAGATGGCGGACAGTGCGAGCAAGTCAAATATTTTGCCATTAAAGTTGCCCTCGGCGATTGCAGGATTGCCATTGCCCGTGTCAAAACTATCCACGAACTTAAAGGGACAGATGGGGCATTTTTGGCGTGTTGATTTTAGTCTTGAATATATGTAAATAGTCTTTAGAAGTACTTGACATGTACGGAAATCGCAAAATTCATTAAAAAATATTTCAAACAAGGAATTTTACTCACTATTTCTATAAATGTGTTTTCTATATATCCCAGAGTATCTTAACATTAAAACGCGGATAATTCAGGACACACGTGGATTTTAAGGCTTAAATTTGGTCTGTGAGCTGTGAACACTATTACTGATTAGCTCAGCTAAAACAAATTCCATTTCTGAGACTAAAGTATGATTGGTCAAAAAAAAAATGAAGCACCTGTCCCTATCAGATGAGTTAGTATCAATTGTATTGCTGTAGTTTAACACCGTGTAAGCGAGTTTCCGCGGAGGTAGAATTGCGTACCTTTATTGTCGACTAAGCATGTGGTGCACTGACATGTTCACTGTTCTTTTCTTCGCAGATTTGGAATATGTTATTTCAAGCACCATCAGTAATTGTCTTCCAGGCAAAACCGCTCACAGAAACACGGCAACCAAAACAGTTTCCTCGGGTAAGCGCAAAACCGTTGTTTACTCGCTTGCACTGCGCATGTCAAAAAATGCTCGAGTAACATAGTCGTGGAAGCGTGGCGAAAGTAATCGAACATGTACCTTCAGAATGAGCCCTGACTCCAACTGAGAGGTTGGAACTCTTCTCGGTCAGCTCTATCCAGGGGGACCTCTGTGACTAGTGTTACCAATGGTATATTATCTAGTAGTATAAGGTTTTATAGGAGATACTCTCCTATTGATTATCTGATCTAGGTCACAAGTAGGGACTCTGAATTTCAGCATTGAAATACAGTGGTGTAACCTATATTCGTGCATATAAGGATTCAAGACCTAATTTCGTCGAAATTAGGAAAGCAGAATTTGTTTTATGTCTTAGATGTTTTCTCAGATATTCTATAAAATAATTATAATTGGTATGTTTCAATTTTCTTTAAGAATCCCTCACCTAGACCTATATTTCATGAGTAACTAACTCGACAACGGCTGCAAAATGCGTCACCTATTTTCGTGTATGATGTTTGATCTATAAATAAGTCGAGAAATACACTTATCTTTAATACTATTTCATTATAACTAATGACAATTTCTTTAAAGAATAATGATTTAAAAAAAGAATAGTGACTAACAAAATAATTCAAGTAAAACTAAGAGTGATTTATTGCTAAAAGTCATTGAAACAACATAATGTGGCCCAGATTGTGTTCCATGGAATGTTTATGCAGACACGGGTTCCGCTAGTTTGTCACGTGACTTCGTTCACTGGAATATATCGACTCCCAACTGAAACTCTGAGATATCAGCATCCGCTGGAAGCGAACGTTAACTTGTCATCTACCAACCAAACGCCAAACTCGGCGACGAAGGCAAACTATATATAGTAGTACTAGTAGTAGTAGTAATCGAACTGGGTGGTCACGTTTTAATTGAGCTGCGAAATTCAGCGAACCATAACACTTTACTTAGTTACCTAGTTGTTTTAGTTTGTATTTTATAACAATTTAAGGACAGTTTTTACGTTTTTTAATTGGAATAATAGTGGAGAAATAGGAACTAACTACTGTTTTAGTTACTGATGTGTATTTTTTATTTAATCTGAATCGTTAATTATGAACCTAACTTCATCTGAAAGCTACGTGAAGTCATGATGGCCGATCCGAATTTGAATTCTCAAACGGAGAAACTAGAAGAGAGAAGAGACAGACTGAACAGCACAAAAAGACCCTAAGATAGCAACTCAGATTCACCAGACGAAGATAACTGCGATAAGAAACCAAAATCGTACTCTTCTGAAGACAACTATGATAGATAGTTTAAGGAATTGATGAAAATGGTATCATGTCTAAGTACACAAATAACAGCTACCCATTCACAAATGCCAGATAATAAGTCAAGAGAAAAGAATAGAAGAGAAGGTTTCAAATATGATTGACAATAAGCGAGGTTCATATTGAAAAGTTGGAAGTGAAAGTTAAAGACAATATACATGAGAAAGTAGGCCAGGAAATTAATAAAGTGAAATTTGAATTTGATCAAAATTTGAAGGAAATGTGTCAATGCAACCTTATAAGCTGGTGATTAAAAATCTCGATGATAAGAACGGAGAGCAAAACCCTGATCTTTTACTTGGAAAAATGAACGAACTCACCGTTGTTAATGTGTCTCATGTGAAACTACTTAATCAAAAACACTCAAAAACTCAAAGTCCATGGCCAGGTCTTGTGACGATAACTATACAAAAACACGATGACATCAAGAATATTATGAGGCAGAGCGGATCCTCGAAGAGTCGCCAAAATGTAATAAGTGTGCGTAGAAAATTATAAATCACTAGATGAAAGAAGGCACGAAACAAATTTGCGAGAGAGATTTTCTGAGAGAAATTTGAAAAGATAAGAAATTCACAATTAAAGCTGGAAGACTGTTTAACAAAACGGAATGACGCCATTTAAGACTCGGTCTATGGAACTGTTGTGGATTCTCATCAAAGCAGTACGTCAACCTAGAATTCAGACAAAAGGTTGAATATGGCGATTGTGACATTTTAGGAATTTGTGAAACGTTTTTAACCAAACATCAAGTTTTAAATTTACCAGGATACGAATGGCTTGGAAATAACCGAAAGACGCAGAACAAAAAGTCTAAACGAGGCAGCAATGGAGTTGGTTTCCTGGTAAAAGAAAATCTGATCGGTAGACGCCTGAGGGCTCAACTAGAATTAATGATCCTAGTACATTCTTTGGCTCGCTTCTTGAACAGATATACTGTTACCAGAACATAGGAAATATTCAGGTTTTCGGTGGTTTTAATGCCCGATGTGGAGATATATCTGACGTGATCGATGGGGTGGACAATATACCACCACATGACATTATAGACAATATGGTGATTTATTCACCGACTTTCTGACAGTCTCAAATCTTACAATGCTAAAAGGAAGAACTGGTTCGCAAGACTTCACTTGTATCTCTAAAACGGCCGATCAGTCGTTGACTATACGTGTGTGTGCCCCACGAAGCGTTATACACATTAAACACGAGTAATTTGCGATGAAAACAATGTTCAGGGTTCATACGACAAAATCTAACAGCTGATTCAAGGGCACATGGAATCACGTATCACAAGTCGATACAAGGACGTGGGAAAAGTGACAAAACATAAGTCTAAATACAAAGCCTACTGGCACGGAGCTACAAGAGCAGTAGAATAAAGTAAAACTTTATGAAAAAGCTTGGCTTAAATCCAAAAAGCATTGTGAAAAAAGACGTTAAAAGCCCAATACTGTTTAGAACGAAAACCCCCCCGATCAAAATCCCGACTTTAATTATCCTATAGAAGAAGTCACTCGGTCTGTTAGAGAGTTGAAATGTTAAAACTCCAGTGGTTATGATCAAATACCAGCAATGGTGCTTAAAAACGATACTGCGATAACAATTCTGCATAAATCACGTGCTCCCTGCTTTGAGTTGGGTATTGTATCGGATCAATGGACCAAAAGTGTAATACAACCTATATTCAAACCAGGAAGCTATGATATACTTAACCCAAATAACTATAGGAGGATTTCTTTAATTTCACTGCCTAGTACAGTTTATTGTAATATATGAAATAAGAGAATTAACAAATGGCTTGAATGTAATGACATCTTATCAGATTACCAAAATGGCTATAGAAAACGTCGTAGTTGTGCAGGTCATATCTTTTCACTTTTTAACGTAATTAATGAACGCAAATTAAGCAAGAAGTCAACATTTATATGTTTTATAGATTTTAAAAAATGTTTTGACTGTATAAAACGTCCCCTTTTATGGCATAAACTAAGATAGTGGACCACAGCCATATACGCCCACCACGGCATGCGGATGGTAAATATTCCAGATTTTTGGGCAAGGGCAATAACTCTGCTTCTAACGGTCGAAAATAGCTAAAATATTCGAACTTGATATTCATTTTATGTATACACATGCCGAATTTCATTTGATTCCATCAAAAAATCTAGTTTTTAGAGCGTTTACAAGCAAATGTTGACGGACGGACGGACCGACGGACCTTCGTTTCATGAATATGTATGCACATACTGAATTTCATCTGATTCCTTCAAACACTCTAGTTTTTAGAGTGTTTACGAGCCATTAATGTTGATAAACTGACGTAAGAGGCCTAAGTCTTAAAAAGCCTTAAATTTAATCAAAAGTAAACTAAACTTTCTCAAACCTTTCGATTTAGGTCCAATAACATATATTTTAAGTTTCATCAACATTGGTTCAAAACTAAGAGATTTTGGGGCAAGGGCAATAACACTGCTTCTAACGGTCGAAAATAGCTCAAATTCGAACTTGATCTTTGTTTTATGAATCTGGTTTTTAGAGCGTTTACAAGCAAACGTTGACGGAATGACGGACAGGGGTGCCGACAATATATGTCCACATAGAGAGATGAGGGCGTATAAAAATGTACTGGAATATCCGGTAAACTTTTAAATGCTGCTCAATTATTGTATAACAACAGTTCTAGTTGTGTCAGAGTAAATAATAACTTATCTCATTAGATGCAGGGGTTAAGCAAGGATGCTTAATGTCACCGACATTATATGCTATCTATATAAATGATCTTTTCTTTTCTTTAAAATATACTTTTATATCTAGTTTCTTGTTTCCAAGAAGTTCATACTATTTTCAGAAATACTTGCGGTCAGTTTTACAGAAGGGTGGTAGTTATTCAAAATTTCGAAAAACTCCCAAAAGTTTGCCGAAGATAAGTGGTGAAATACTTGCATTTGTCATATTTATTCCCTTGACACTGGGTTTAAATTTTGAAGGTCGCACGAGTATATTCCCCAAACTAACCGATATTTTTTAAAGCTCAGAATTTGTGGTATTTCTTAAGAAAATGAATATTTGCCTTGTCTTCGTACTTTAAAAAAAGTATGAGTTTGTGTCGAGTACTCTGCAGAAACGGTAATAGTTACAGCAAGATTAGCAATGCATTGGATCTGCATATTCGGTGTTTTAACTAATGAATATAAATTGGAACAATTTTGCAAAACGGATAGTGGCACGTTGCAAAATGTGCAAAAAGTAGACAATTGACTCTAGAAGGCACAATTTTGGAGAGATTTTGCTCGGGTTTTCAGTTTTAGAATTTCGCCCGAATATCTTATATGATAGCAGTTAAAAAAAAATCGAATTTTTTAGCAGAATTTCGCAAAATTTTTCATTTTCTCGGCTATGCGTCCGACTGATTTGAAATTTCTGATGCCAAAACAGATCACAACAGAAAACAAATCGACACAATCAAAAATTTGCATCACATCCGGTTGATGCGAAATAAGGTGCTAGCTTCCGGTTGACCCACTTTCGTTTTTTATGTATGAAGGTCACTGAAACTAAGACTAATTAGTAGATAGCGTTATGACTTTAAAATACAGAGCCATTTACTAGACACGAAAATTGATAAGTTGGCCGCCATTTTGATTTTTCTGAAATTATTCAAAACTTTATTCAGAGATTACTTCTTTTCCGATTTTGATGATTTTGGTGTCAAATGAAAGAACACAAAAATTAAAGAAAACTCTAGGAAGCCGATTTTTGAATTTCGCTCTTGCTTGTTTTCAATTTCAGGTTCGAAATTTGAAGGCTCATACTAATTAATAGATAACTAATAATAATGAGTTTGCATCTTTAAAGCCTTCTAACAGGTGACTTGATTTTGATTTTGATTTATTGCAATCAGCATTTACATGTACAATACAATACATATTGCTATAGCATAAGTTATATAACAATTAATTAACAAACAAATTTTGTAGAATGTGTAGAACTGTGTAGCTTATCACGGAGAACAGATTCAACGAATACTAAATTATATTGATATATATTATATACAAGAACAGTTGATAGATGACTATAACTTCTCAAGATATTGTTTTCGTTTTTGCCACGAATAGTAAATATATCTTGACAGATTTATAATAATAGTTTCAGATTTGTTTTTCATAATACTTTGAAATTTATAAATTGAAAGCCAACTCCAACATCTTGGGAGGAACTTTATTCTTATAACTCTATAAGCTGGACAGCAAAATGAAATTCATTTTCTATCATATTGGTGTTACAACAGATTCAGTTAAATATGCAGCACATTCATAACCTTCGTAATAAGAAATGTATGATTTCAGTTTTATTTAGACACTAATTTTTGAATACCAGTTTTGAATATATTGATCACGTACTCTTTTCTGTATTGTTGTGAAGTTAAATGATTCTAGATTATATTGGCTTTCCCAAGATAGAAACAGTTTTTAAAACCTATATCAGAATCATGTTTCAGATGTTGGTATAAATCATATAAAATACCATCTTTCTTTGAAACTATTTTTATCCAAAATTTCAATATGCTTTGAGTTTGAATAACCCATTATGGGAATCGTCCGAGCTCCCCCAATAAAAAACAAATTGGCGCCAAGTTTGAGAGGTTTAGGATTTTTCTAATAAATTTTTTATGCACGTTTTCGATGATTGATGTATCACAGAACCCCCATATTTCACACCCATAGTTTAATATCGGTGCTACAAGAGAGTCAAATAAATGACACATAACATCAATTGCAAGATAACAGTTACTGGTTTGAACAAACAAACAGTTTAAAGCCTTTAGAACCTTTTCGGACATTCTTTTTTGAGCATTCTTGGATTTACCGTTTCTTTCTAATAAAACTCCTAAATAAACATATTCGTTCACTACTTCAAGTAGTACCTTTTTGAAAAACAACTATTTTAGTTTGGCAGAATTGATCTCTAGTCGCCATTGTATACAGTATGATGGAAATTTATTTAAGAGTTTTTTTTAGCATAGATTCAGATTTAGCAAATATCACCATGTCGTCAGCGAATAAAATTATGTATAATAAATAAGTATTTAGTTTGAATAATCCTGTCGAATAACGTAAAATAGTGTAAAAATTCTTCAATATCATACATAAATACAAGAAACATGAGTGGGGATAAAGGTTCCCCTTGTTTCACGCCTAAAAGCTATCGAAATAGTCCGAAATTTCACAATATGTCTGACGCAAATTTTTATATTTGAATATATCGATTTTATGAGACGAACAATTTTTGTGTCAGTTCCAAATTTCCATAATTTATGGAGTAGTAGACTTCTATCTATATTATCAAAACATTTCTAATTATTTGTATCAAATATGTAATTAAAGAGCTTAGTTACAATAGGGATCAAAATGGCACCACTATCTAAGAAGAATTCTGGTGGAATACCATCAGCACCACAACTCGTTTCAACTTTTTGATTGGTTTTGTACCCTCCTATTCGGTTATACGCGTATTGAGGCTATTAGCATTATTATTATCATTCTCGTATTGATTAATATATTGACTGATATATTGTTCATTTTGACCAAATTATGTTGGTATGTTACCTAAGATTTTTTGAAGGTGTTCGTATAAGTCTTTGGCCGTAAGTGTTGATTTTATTCTGGTATTGTTTTTGCCATTTGGCGTAGACCAATATTCCTTAGGGTTATTTTTTGACAATTTATTCAGTCTACTACCAAAGTCTTTAGCAAATTTATATTTTGACCGTTTTTTTACTTTGTTATATTTATTTCTTGCTAATAAATATATTTGTTTGTTACCGTTTGATTTATGTCTGTTATAAACGTTTCTAGCTTTAGAAAATATCGCCTTTTCTTGACTTAACAGAGATAGAGCAATAGTATTTTCGGATTCATAATGCCGAGATCCTGAGCTTTCCAGTGATATATAACATGTATGCCTTACATGCAAATTCAAAATCCATACACTTAACATGGTGTAATTACTGTAGTCTAAATACGCTGTCATCGGTCTGTCAACTCTAATTAAAATGAAAATGCCTTTTCATCTTAAAGACACACTCCCTTTTATATTTGTTTAATATGTTTTATGTCCAGTTATAATATATAAATAAGCTCTAGGCTGGATTGAACCCTGTTATACTGTAGTTTCAGTAAGTACCTTAAAGGAATAACCCCACTTAAATTCCCACTTAATTTGCCAACTATCTTATTTCTTATCTGAATTTCATCAAACTTTGTATGTGTATAATCCAATTCTAAATTTAATGGTAATTTTGAATTCTTGTTGTACACATGCGCATTACCAACTTTCTTATTATTGTACGAAATTCATCAAACTTGGTCTTTATTAATTGACAAACATTCTCTTATTCTTAGTCAATATACTTAAAACTCCACACACTTACGCATATTTGCATTTAGAGATGCAGAAAAGTATTTACATCAATGTAATTGCAATAGATTATCTACGTATGTACATGAAAGTCGTAACACGCCCTGCATCAGTACTGTTAATAGAGCAGTTCTAGTTATAATTTTTGCAAATGGGCCATATCTATGCTGTTCTTTTCTACTCCCAGAAATGTCGTCTGCAATCCACTTCAGTTAATGGAAATTGTGAGACCTGATAATCTGTATTAAGTGACAGCCTGTAATCCCATCGTAATTAGCTAATTACAAGGTAATTATTAGTGATGTTCCGATTGTCGGCGACAATCGATTATCGGTCGTTGAATGTCCAACGATGTTACTAATCGATTCCCAACTGAAAGTCGGCGACGCCGGCAAACGATATATAAAAAGCTAGTTTTGTTGTTTTTGTTTGTTTTGTATTGATAATAAAAAAAAAATCATAAAAATAAATTAAACTTAACTTATGATTGACTGACTAAAACATTGAGATTCTGATAATTCGTCACACCTTAGATTAATTTTTCT